GGTGGCGCAGCCCCGCGCTTGGGGATCCCAAGCCAGCCCCCATCGCAGACGGGCCGCTAGCCCGGGCTCCAGCAGTGACCCGGATAGTGCGCAACGCCCACGGAGGGAGCGGCCCGACCGGGCGAGAAGACGTGGCAGACAGCTGGTCCCCGGGTTTGGTATGGACCAACCCCCGACCCCTCCAACTGAGGCATGGTAAGCCGGGCGAACGGACGGATCGTTCGAGGGCGTGGGGTGAAGGGAGGAAGCAGTCCGGGGCGGAAGCCTTCGGGCGCCCGTGGGTAGACGGGTTACGGGCAGAGTGACCCCTGTCTACCGCGTCGGGGCGTGAGCAAGCCCCGACGTTTAGGGCCCCGGGCTGGGACCTGGAGAGAGGGCAGGACCGGGTCCCCCTCCCTCCACCGGAGGAGCATCCAGCTCCGAGCAACGCCGGCATAGGTGGGTAGCAGAACCAAGTCCCGCACCCCCAGGAAGTGGGGTCGGACTAAGGGGCTCGGCTCCGCTGCCCCCCCCCCTTCCTTCCAGGGAGGGGGGTGATCGCACCCGATCACCCGGGCTTCCGACTAGGAGCCCGGCCGCGAGACGAACCAAAAAGAGGCGAAGGGGTCCGCCGAACCCCCCTCTCGACCAGGGACGGGGTGATCGCACCCCTCACCCCTCACGCTAGGTTAGGCCTCAACTGTTTCCAGTGGTTGGGAGATTGGTGAGAACAGAAAACAGGACTATGTAGCACTTTAAAGACTAACAAGATGGTTTATTAGGTGATGAGCTTTCGTGGGCCAGACCCACTTCCTCAGATCAAATAGTGGAAGAAAATTGTTACAACCATATATACCAAAGGATACAATTAAAAAAATGAACACATATTAAAAGGACAAATCAAATTTCAGAACAGAAAGGGGATGTGGGGGGGAGGTAAATGTCTGTGAGCTAATGATATTAGAGGTAATAACTGGGGAAGCTATCTTTGTAATGGATAAGATAATTAGAGTCTTTATTCAAACTTAGGTGTAAAGTGTCAAATTTAAGCATGAATGACAGTTCAGAGGATTCTCTTTCAAGTGTAGTCTTAAAAGGCCTTTGAAGCAGGAACAGGGCTGGGGATTTGGTTCCTTCGCCCCCTGAGGATATTGGGTCTACCAATCTGATATATAAAGCCGGTGCCATCATGCTGCTTCAGTGGGACATTTTATTTTCTTGGTTCTGTGAGCTGAACAGGTGCCTTTGTTAAAGCAGCAGCCAACCTATATTTTACTGGCATGTCCCCTGGCAATTCTTAGTCATTGTCTGAGGTGCTTACTGCTGTTGGAAACTATCAACATAGAAAGTCCTCAGTGTGTTTGTGTGAAGAAGTGAAAATGAGGTGGTAACTTTTGCAGTCTGAGTCTTTTCATTTTCTTCCTGTCATGGGGCAAATGCCAGCTGAGGTTGAGGCCTGGCACCTTGTTTGACTGTGTGAAGAAAGGACAAAGATTTCTCAAATAGCTCTAACTGGTGTTCCCCAAGATTAATGGGAGGAGTTTGGGGCATTTGCAAGCTGCCTGCATGTTAGCTATGAGGTATATACTTGTGACTGAAATTTCTTCTTCCCAAATTTAGTGCTGTTAATTAGGTACCTACTGCATATCTGGCACAGGGAACAAAACATGCTCCATTTTGTTGAGAAAGAAATTGCAGAAAAGTGGAGGTTTTTTTCAGAAATAATGTGCTCGGGTTCAGGGACTTAACTGAAAGGGAACAAGCATGCAGTGAACAAGTACACAGGATGTGCAGGGAAGAGAGGAAGGAGATAGTGGGGAGAGGGCGGGGCTTGGCCTGGAAAGTTACTGCCTCCCCAAGTGGAAGCTTCACCAACTGCTCGTGATGAAAGAAATCTAAAAAATTATGAACGGTATTGAGAAAGTGGAGAGGGAAATGTTGTTTACTCCTCCACATTACGCATGAACCAAAGATCACCCAATGATATTAATAGGCAGAAGGTCTGAAACAAACATAAAGAAGTACTTCTTCACACAAAGCACAGTCAACCTGTGGAACTCATTGCTAAGGAATGAGAAGACCAAAATAATAATACTTCTTCAAATAAAAATTAGATAAGCTCATGGAGGATAAATCCATTAATTGTCTTCTAAGAACATAAGAATGGCCATACTGGGTCAGACCAAAGGTCCATCCAACCCAGAACCCTGTCTGCCGACAGTGGCCAATGCCAGGTGTCCCAGAGGGAGTGAACTGAACAGGTAATGATCAAGCGATCTCTCTCCTGCCATCCATCTCTACCCTCTGACAAACAGAGGCCAGGAACACCATTCTTTACCCTATTGGCTAATAGGCATTTATGGACTTAACCTCCATGAATTTATCTAGTTCTCTTTTAAACTCTGTTATAGTCCTAGCCTTCACAACCTCCTCAGGCAAGGAGTTCCACAGATTGACTATGCGCTGTGTGAAGAACTTCCTTTTATTTGTTTTAAACCTGCTGCCCATTAGTTTCATTTGGTGGCCCCCTACTTCTTAAATTATGGGAACAAGTAAATAACTTTCCCTTATTTACTTTCTCCACACCACTTATGATTTTATAGACCTCTATCATATCCCCCGTTAGGCTCCTCTTTTCCAAGCTGAAAAGTCCCAGTCTCTTTAATCTCTCCTTATATGGGACCTGTTCCAAACCCCTAATCATTTTAGTTGCCCTTCTCTGAACCTTCTCTAATGCCGGTATATCTTTTTTGAGATGAGGAGGCCACATCTATATGCAGTATTCAAGATGTGGGCATACTATGGATTTATATAAGGGCAATAAGATATTTTTTCGTCAGGGGCAGATGACCATTTTGCGGGGCCCGGGGCAGCACAATTTTGTGGGGCCCCCCTTTGCCAGGGCGCATGCGTGGGGCTTCTTGAAGCGCGGGGCCCGAGGCTGCCACCCCACTCATCCTGCCCTATATCCGCCCCTGTTCTTCATCTTATTCTCTATCCCCTTTTTATTGATTCCTAACATCCTGTTTGCTTTTTTGACTGTCACTGCACACTGCGTGGACGTCTTCCACGATGACTCCAAGATCTCTTTCCTGATTAGTTGTAGCTAAATTAGCCCCCATCATATTATATGTATAGCTGGGGTTGTTTTGTCCAATGTGCATTACTTTACATTTATCCACATTAAATTTCATTTGCCAATTTGTTGCCAAGATGGTCAGATTCTTTGGGTGTCTGTAAACCTCTGACTGCTTGGAACTAGATAATAGGGGATGAATCATTAAAAAATTATTCTGTTCATTTCCTCTGAAGCATCTGACACAGTACTGTAAGGCAAGCTACTGGGCTAGATGAACCATTGGTGTGACCCAATATGGCTATTCTTATGTTCTTAGCATTACACATCCAGGGCATGTCTCAGAAGAGCAGTCTGAAGAGCAAGGACCTTCAACTACCTTACCTATGACACCAGCAGTGCTAACAGGCCATTTGATCTAGAATGGTCCTTTAAAATACTTGCTAAGTACTAATGCTAAACAATCTGTTCCACTTTCCATTTAGCTGGATGTTCAAAGTACCTTTCTCATGTGAAGAAGGGCTCTGTGTGGCTCAAAAGTTGGTCTCTCTCACCAACATAAGTTGGCCCAATATAAGATATTACCTTTCCTGCTGTGTCTCTTTCCATGACAAATGTCAATCTCATCATTTCCTGAAAAAGCGACGAGGAGTCCTGTGGCACCTTATAGACTAACTGAGGTGTAGGAGCATAAGCTTTCGTGGGCAAAGACCCACTTTGTCAGATGCATCTGACGAAGTGGGTCTTTGCCCACGAAAGCTTATGCTCCTACACTTCAGTTAGTCTACAAGGTGCCACAGGACTCCTCGTCGCTTTTGCAGATTCAGACTAACACGGCTACCCCTCTGATCATTTCCTGAGTTACTGAAAGAAGCTGGTGATGAACATGGCATAAGAAGTATAAGAATGGGCATGCAGGGTAGACAAATAAACAGAGCCAGTACCCAAGAGATCCATGCTGTCACCCATTCCCTGCTTCTGGCAGAGGCTAGGGACACCGTCCCTACCCATCCTGATGTGTAGCATTGCTGGAGTTGTCGCTCATGAATTTACCTAGCGCTTTGTAAAACCAAGGCCTTCAAACATCCCCTGGCAAGGAGTTCCGCAGATTGTGAACTGGGTGAATCGGCCTTTTTTAAAAACTGGGTGCCTGTGACTGTCCTTGGGAGACCCCCTAGTTCTTGCCTCGGGGGGGGGGGGGGGGCGCGGCAGCGC